TGACCAGTCTAGTGAATACCCTAACCATCATCATAGCCAGGCACCAGGCTGAGCTCTGGGAATCCAATCAATGAGAGAGAAGAAGGATTCTGCAGGCAGGGGATGTGGAGATCATGATGGGAGAACGTGCAGAGATGACCGGCCACACTAGTGGAAGCCCATGAACTGTGGACTGGTGGGTGTGGAGCTCCCATGGGACTGGACTAGGCCCTCTGGATACAGAAGATGGTTGTTTGGCCCTAACTGTTTGGGGAACACCCAGGCAGGAGGATCAGGATCTGTCCCTGGTGCATGGGCAGACTTTTGGGAATCCGGTGCCTGTGGTGTGATGCCTTGCACAGCCTTGGTGCAGTGGGAAGGGGCTTGGACCTGCCTAGGCTCAGTGTGCCGGGCTCTGCTGACTCCCCATGGGAGATCTTGTTTTGGGGGATCTGGGGATGTGGGGTGGCTTGGGGAAAAGGGCTGAGGGGTGGGAGGAAGGAGGAGGGGGGATCTGTGGGTGGTATGTAGAGTGAATAGAAAATTTCTTAATAAAGAAAAATCTTTAAAAAGCATGTGCAGAGTGTCTGGGATGAGGCAGAGGCAAGGCAGTGAAGGGGTGGATATGATCCAAATACATTGTATAATCCATGAAATTCTCAAAGAATAAATACAAACATTTTAAAATATGTTTGATCCTGATGTGCACAGAGCATGACAGATTGCACACCTGTGAAGTCACCTAACTCCACCTCCTCAAGGACAGGTCACCTTAGTGCATTTACCCTAAATCAGAAGAAGCAACAAGAATGGGTCTTGTATTGGGTATTTTATGTTGCTGTGGTAAATGCCATGACCAAAAAGCAACCTGGAGAGGAAAGGATTTACTTGGCTTACAGGTTACAGTCAATCTTTCTCCCTTCAATCTTGTGGGAAATCAAGACAGGAACTCAAAGAGGAGCAGACCATGGAGGAACACTGCTTACTGGCTCACTCTCATGGCTTGCTCAGCTTAGTCTCTTATACTCCAGGCCCATCTGCCCAGGGTGGTACCACCCATGGCTTCCTGGGTCCCCCCACATCAATCATTATTCAAGAAAATCCCAGACAGACATGCCCACAGGCAAATCTGATGAAAACAATTCTTCAATTGAGTCCCTTCTTCTTCAGTGATTCTAGTCCAGCACCAGTGTGGTGGTTTGAATAAGAATGTTCCACATAGACTTAAGATATTCGAATACTTGGTTCCTAGTTGGCGGTGCTGTTTGGATAGGTTTAAGAGGTGTGGCCTTGCTGAAGGAAGGATATCACTAGAAGAAGGCTTTGAAAGTTAAAGGACCTGTGTTCTTTCTAATTCACTCTCTCTGCTTCTTGCCTGAATTTAAGATGTGAACTCTCAGTTTCCTGTTCCTGCAACCTTACCTTTACGCCACCATCATGAACTCTAACCCTCTGGAACCATCAGCCCGAATAAACTCCTCCTTCTCTAAGTTACCTTGGTCATGGTGTTTTATCATAGCAACAGAAAAGTAATAATAATACAGTTGTTGGTACCAGGAGTGTGATATTGCTGTAACAGACCTGACCATCCTGTATTTTGGAGAAAAGTGGATGAACTCTGTAAGTGGGGTACAACGGGCCAGCCTAGTTGGAAGACGGAGTACAGAGAACAGTGTGCACTGTGGAGGCCGGTATCAAGGTTTCCAAGGGGAGCAATTATTACCAAAGGGGCTGCTTTCTGCCCTTGTCCTCACAACTTGTCTGGTGCTAGATTTAAAGGAATGGACCAACGTCTTTTGTATAGGAGATTTCAAAACAGCTCAATAGCGACTCTGGTACGTGGTTGTTAGCAATCACTCTTACACAGATCTGCAATGAAAAAGAACAAACAGGGCAATGCATACAGTTCAGAGAGGAAAAGGACATTGGCAAGCTTAACGTTACAGCCAAGGCTTGACCTGGGAGAGAGAGTACAACCGTTAGAGACCAGGCCTGACTGGAAGGGTGCCCTCAGGACAAGACCCCACCCAGCTAAGCTTCCAAGTTGTAAAAGTCTCTTAAACCCCTTACCACCTGCCAGTGAGGGGCTGGGTAGAATTCAAGAACGAGCACAAATAGAAGGTTCTAGAGCCGGAAATCCCACTCTGAGGCCCAGGGTGCAGAGAATGCAAGAATCAAAGGATGGAACTGGAGGGACGGAGGGGTCGGGGAGTGGGGGGCGGGCTGCAACACTCTGTCTTCTGGACCTGACCCAGCCATTGCAATCACACAATCACAGACTCACAGCGACTGTGATCACCTACATACTAGCACACCAAAGAGAAGACATAAAAGTAGGAGGGAGACTGGCCAGGAAGAAGGGCGGGTCAACAACATGGGAGGGATACAAGGAAAGGACATAGCAGAGGAGAATACGATCACAGTGTATTTGTACAATTAAGAAATGGTTGAAGTACTTTAAAGGGCATTAAATAAAGCATGGTGAAATCCAAATAATTTGTACAGTTTAATGACTGCACTGGAATCGACGCTGGGGGAGGGGATGCGGCTCAGTCAGTCCCAGCACTCGGGAGAAGAAGGGATGAGGCAGTTCAAGTCATCCCCTGCTGCACGTGGAGTTTGAGGCCAGCTTGGACTACATAAAACCCTGCCTCAAAAACAGAGGGGAAAAAAAGAGATCATGTGAGTGAGGCCATCAGTAAACCAATACCGTAACGGCTGGCATCCGTGGGGTGGCGTTTCTGGGAAGAAGACATGGTGTTACTAGCCCACACCCCATCATCCGTGAAAAAGACACAGTGGTGTCACTTTATTTTACAAGTCACTGGCTTTTATGGAAGACGTTTCTGAACTGGCCATACTGGGAATGAATCGGCTCTCCCCACTGAGAAGCCCAGACCCTCTGACCCACTCTGAAATTCCTGGAACATGCATCTCCCTCCTGGTGTGTCAGATGCTCAGCCCCCTCCCTCTGACTCTTCCGGCACCAGTACCCACTTCCCAGTTTCTCTTCCTAAGTAAGACTACGTTCAGGGAGGTGGTGAATAAAAGCTGCTGTCCCCGCCAGCTTCTGCACTGAGAAGTGGCTGTGAACCATGAGTGACTCCAAGGAAATGGGGAAGAAGCAGCTTGGCCCTCTGGGTGAGACTGGGCTGGTACTCTGGGAGCTTGGGGAAGGGGCAGCAGATGGGCAGTGTGTGACCCATGCTCTGTCCACTCAGATGAGGACCAAATGATAGCCAGCCCCACCAGGTACTCCATCAAAGGCTTTGGCTTCCAACCAAATTCTGGATTCGGTAGTTTCACTGGTAAGATAGGATGAGGGGCTGTGGAATGGACAGCTCCTGGCAGAAACTTGGGTTCCTGGGGAGGTGGAGGTTGGAACTCTGGCCACTGAGGTCCAGAGAGTTGGAAGTTCAGATCCTGCATGTGGGCCCTGGGCTCCCGGGAACTTAGAGGCTAGGATCTGGAATGCCGTACCTTGGGAATGAGGCTGTTGTATTTATCGCCTGTCTGGGGCTACATTGAGTCAGGGACACCAAGGTGCTGAAATTCCATCCTTGCCCCCCACAGGGCACCTGGGCCTCGGCCATGTCCCCTTGGCACTGCAGGTTTTCTTCCTGGTTGTCTTCTCGGTGCTGCTGCTGGTCGTCCTTGTCAAAGGTCAGGTAGGACTGAGGTTTGGGGTCTGCAGGTCTGGTTCTTCAGCCAAAGGGATCTGGGAGGGAGGAGCGACTGACTGAGACTGTGTCCTCCCTGTCCTCTGAGTAGACTGGGGAGACGCTGGCTGCACTGGCCTTAGAAACCCAACCTCCCTTGGGTGTTAGATCTCTTCATCATCAAACAGCACTAAGCAAGACCTTGGGCCTTGGAAATGGTGGTCCCTGGACTGGAGATGTCACCCGAGCAGTAGAACGCTAGCCTAGCAAACTCAAAATCCTGTGTTCCATCCCAGCACTGCATAAAAGTGGGTGTGGCTGTGCATGCCTAGAACCCCAATACTCAGGAGGCTGAGGCAGGAGAATTGGGAATTCAAGGTCAACCTCAGCTACATAGAAATTTTGATGCAGCCTGAACTATATGAGACTCTGTCTAGAAAATAAAGGAAGGAAGGAAGGAAGGAAGGAAGGAAGGAAGGAAGGAAGGAAGGAAGGAAGG